CTTAATAGGTTAGTTTTTTTTAAAAAAGATTCACTTTTTATATTTGCGTTCATTGCAGTTTGATCAAGATGATATGATTTAAATCCATAACATATATGAATATATATATATATGTGTGCGCGTGCGCACGCTATTCATGAACTAAAATGAGATAGAGCATTGCAAAATGCCAAAGGAGGAGTTACAAGCAGTGTGTTTGGTTTAAGGGGAGAGAAGAGAAAATAATAAGTAATTTACTATTATATCTTTATACATTAGTTTAATTTTTTTATTTTTTTCTTGCAGAAAATAATTTTACACCTCAATTTATTGCATGATTTTTTTTAAAATTCACTCTTATCCTATCATATTGTCAATATGTGAAAAAAATTAAACCAATAATTAAAATAAAAACGATGTTTTATGAAAAATAAATAACTAAATATATAATAAAATATGATAAAATGTAACTTTTTTAAACAAAATCTAATGAGATCAGTCGAGGTTTGGGAGTGAAGCACAATCTAATATAAATGAGAGTTTTTTTTTAACTATAGGTATACTTAGAATATTAAAAAATAGATAAGGGAAAGGTAGTTAAAAAAATTAGCTCTCCTCTAAAAAATCCTAATTTAGAGGGGAGCAATATGAGGAGAGGGGAGGTGTTATTTAAGCTCTCCTCCTCTCCAAAATTTTTTAACTAAATGAGAGAAGGGGCACTACTAGAAAAAATAGAATTTAGCGAGGAAAAAATTCCTCACTAAATGCCATTTTCCTTAGTTAAATTGCATTTTAGCGATAGATTTTGTTCATTGCTAAATTCATAGTTAAAAAGGGCTTGTTAAATTTAATGAAAAATCATATTTCTTTTACTAATCAGCGAGGGATTCATTCTCCGCTAAAATTAGCTAGAGATTGAATTCCTTGCTAATATTATTTAAAATTTAATAACTTTAGTGAGAGATTAGTCCCTTGCTAATCCTTTATTAAATATGACTATATTTAAAAATAATGATACTACATCATCCGCCATGTATGCGTCAACTTGTGACATGTCATGTCACTAACAACCTGGTGCCTTATCAATTACCATGTCACCTATCATCTCATATCCTATCACCTGCCGTATGTGCGGCAATTTATGACTTGTCATTATTCATCTTGTGTTATGTCACTCACTCCTTACCATGTTATATATTCATTATATTTATGCCAAAGTCAAGACTTCAACCCTTAATCTTATACCTTTTAAGCCTTATTCTCTCATTCTCTATGAGTTAAACTGAAAGACAACTGCAGTTATTATATTATAAATTAAATATATATTATTTAACTACATAAATATATCAAATCATATATTATAAAAATACACACACATATACATATTAAATTTTATTTTCAATTATTAATATTTTAAAAATATTTATATTTTATTTAAATTATTCTTTATATTGTATTGTTAATAAAATATTATTTTATTAATGAAAATCAACTTAAAATAAAGAAAATATTTAAATAATTTTATTATGAATATTTTAGTTAATTTTTAATTTAATTTTTACTAAATGAAAATAGTTAAAAATACAATTCAAAGTCATTGTCAAAAGTTAATTTTCTTTTTGCAGTAATTAGCTAGGAACAAAATACCTTACTAAATTTTTCGTTAACTATCTTATTTTAGAGAGGGATGACAGTCCCTCCTTATTTTCCTCTCTAATTCTCTTATTTTAGAGAGGGATTAATAATTTCTCACTATTTTCCTTACTAATTTTAAGTTAAGCCACGAAGTCAATATCCCTCGTTAATTTGATATTTTAGAGAGGAATGAACAATCGTCAAAAGTTAATTTTTTTTTTGCAATAATTAGCTAGGGACAAAATACCTTACTAAATCTCTCATTAATTATCTTATTTTAGAGAGAGATGGCAGTTCCTCATTATTATTTTTTTTGCCAATTCTCTTATTTTAGAGAGAGATTGATAATCCCACGCTATTTTTTTTTGCTAATTTTAAGTTAAGTTACAAATTAATATCCCTCGCTAATTTGATATTTTAGAGAGGAATGAACAATTATTCACTAAAATCTCTCACTAATTTATATTTTTTTAGTAGTGGGGAGGATCTTTCCCTCTTGTCCCCTCTCCTACAACCAAACACTAAGGGATGGCGCAACTACTCAATGTTATAGCGGGTCACTGAAGCCACATTTCATTCCTGTTGTATATGGACGTACTGTTTTCACTTCACAAGACTCGATGAGAGTTCCTTGGCATATTCTTCTTAGTTTTTGTTCATATGTGCTGGAACCTATGGAAAGAGCAATGCAAAAAGATAAATTATGAAGGAGCCACCCCTGGCAAAAATATTGCTTTCTCATGCACTGAAGACATTATCAATGACTGTGCCTTTCAATCAAGACTCAACCACACTTTGACGTTGAGTTGTGATAGATAACAAGTTAGACGGCATCCACTTAAATTAGGTTGGATGAGACTTAACATTGATGGTTCGGTCAGAACCAATGACATTACTGCTTGTAAAGGTCTTATTTATGATGATAAATTAAGGAAATTTGATTTTAAGGCTTTACCAAATATATTGGTTACTTTTTTAATATTACAGAATTTTGGGATGTTCTTTAAAGGCTCATACTTTGTTGGAAGGATGTATTCAATAAAGTTAACGCGTATGCCAATTCTCTTGAAACACCGACATTCATCTAGCATAATTCCACATAAAACCATCTTTTGTCTGATACTATAAAGAAAATCAGAAATTTTATTATGAAAAACAGAACAATCATTTTAAATCTTTTATTTAGAGAAGAAAATAATTGCTCCAATTGGTTGGCTCACCACATTTCTAATGAGTTTCGTGGCCTATTTTATTCCAAGATTAATGAGTGATGCTCTTGGACTTTTGAAATATGCATCTTCAATTCTGCGTTTCGAGCAGTTAAACTCTACTTTCATTTATTAATATATGTTGGGTGGTGCCATCTACTTCCAAAATTAAATATTAAACTTTTACATTTAACACGTGTCCAGTTATAAAACAGCCGCGTTCATATATACATATATTTTTTCAATGACGAAACGTTAGGCATATTTTTATTTATTAACCATCAACACATAAACCAGTCGTGCGTACACCTAAAGAGAGATATCAAAGGGAAATACACACACACACACACATGCTTCGTTTTAAGCTTGGCCGTCATTTTAAATTTGAAATTTAGATAAGGGATCGAAAGATTTGTAAATTTAAAATAAGAATCAAAAGTCTTTTAGTAAATTGATCTAAAAATTGGCTAGTCTGATTCCTTGGTTTTTTAACTCCACGAGTGAAATTCACTAATTTGTAATGAAAAAACTTGTTAAATATAAAATTACTTGAAAATAATTTTTCTTGACAAATTAATGAATTTTATTTGCAAATTCGTATTTTACAAGTGACAAATAAGGGTACGGATATACCAAATTTATGAATAAAAGTAGCATATTTTAAGACCTATTCACTAAAGTAGTATTTGGAATGATGAATTTAAATTTCAATTTTAGATTCAAAATCTTATACTTAAAATCCATGTATTTCAAATTCTTTGTCTAGACAATGTACAAAAATTCAAAGCAAAAATAAAAGATTTAAAGTAATGAGTTTACATTTATTTTCACTCGATGAGAGACAAAAACAAGATATAAAATGAGGTGACAAGACTAACTGACACATCGATAATGAAAGCATTAAGATAATGAGATGGTTGAAATAGATAGAATTTTAAATACCTAGAGTTTGTAGAGAATTTGAAATTACAAAGAAAGTGTTATAAAAGATGGATTTGAAATACACAAAGATCTTACAACCTTATTTCAAATTTTCAAATCTGTTGATCCTTACTTAAATTTAATTCAATCCTTATTTTTCTTTGATATAATAATTTACAAGTTAACTTTTGACATCTATAAATTCTCTATAAATTTACAATTGAACCAATCTTTCTATCATTTAGAAGTGAATGTGTTTTTTACTCTAGCTGTGAATTTTTGAAAGATAACTTATAAATTTTGAAAAAAGACATATAAATTATTACACTATTTTAATTTATAGCTCAACCAATATAAAAAAAAGTTACTTATAAATTTTGAGCACACTAGCTAGTTGAACTATGATTTTTTGAAAGAAAACTTATAATTTATCGAATAACCATAATTAATTCATTTATTGAATTAGTGGACTTAGGCTACTTACGAAATCCAACCAACTTGAAATAATTTATTTTAGTTTACAACTCAATTATATGAAAAATATATTCATCTATAAATTTCAGATATAGTAGTTGATCTGTTAATTTTTCAAAAAGAACTTATAAATTTTGGAAGAAGATTTATAAATAATAATAATATTTAAATTACTAAATATTAAAATATCGCTGTTTTAGTACAATATTATTGAAAATATATTATTCATTAGCTTTTTTGCAATATTGTTACCAAATTCAATGATTACTCAGTAACGGGTGAAAATTTTGATGCAATAAATGAATATTATTAACTAATAACTCTTTAATCATACATACTCTCATCCTTCATAAAATGAGAGTCATTGGACACGTGTCCAGCAGAAGTATGAGGTGGCAGCTTTAAAATTGGGGGATGAAATAGTTGTATGTCAAGCTACCCCCATCAAGCAAGATTTAAGCATTGGTGCCATTGATCGAGCCAGAGAAGCGGATTGTAACAAGATATCTGAGAACAACCTTGGAAAGCATATATGCATGAACAGAGAAACCATCCACAGATCGGCCACGTCATCTTCAAATTGCAGCAACTAATACTGGCACTCAGGTATAACATTCTGCCTTTCTCAAGGCGAACGTTGGAAACTCCGTGGCTTTACAGCATCAACGGAACGAAATATACACGATGCCAAGCCAGTGCCCCAAGCTCTGAATCTGAAGCTTTAAAGAAGACTCCACATTCAGAAAATTTCGCACGTGCAGTCATGACAATTAATCACAAGAATTCACAAATATCCTCTGAATATTATTATATTAACTGCCCGCAGACAGTACAATGGTGATTCTCAGAGGAACAAACATCCCCAAATGATAGTATATATAATTCAGTCAGAAAGGACAAACGCATAGAAATTGCTTTCCCGTTCCTTCTGATCCTGGCTGTTTTGGAGTGCACTCATCGTAACAATTACATTATATTCTGCTGTTTCATTTTTGAAATTATTGGGAATACAGTTCCCAGCGGGGCAACTTTTACAACTCCCACGAGCACGAACGAACAAATCACAAGATTGTCAGATTGAAGGGAAACGAAATATCTTTAACAAGAAAGAGGGAAAAAAGCTAGTATATTGAAACAGAAATACATCTTCGTTTTTCAAGCTTGGTGAGGAATGAGGCGAACTGGCAGGCCCTTGGCAGGAACAGGCATGGGATCCACAATAATCTTCTCGTGGGGAAGCAACTTTTGCCACTTGAACCTCTTCACTAAGTTGTGCATGAACACCAGAATTTCCAGACGAGCGTACTCTTTCCCGGGACACATCCTCGGACCTCCTCCGAATGGCACAAACGTGTATGGCGCTGGACCGTTCCCTTCGAATCTCGTCGGATCGAACTTGTCGGGTTCTGGGAAGTACTCTGCGTTCTTGTGAGTCGAATTCGCACTCCAGTACAGCTATTTTCATCACCAGATAATCAGAACCGCGTTACTATATCACTCGAGAAATCCAAATCATTAAGTGTTGGAATATTTTTACAATTGCATTAATTAATTAGTTATTGAGCTCATAACAAATTGCTCTTTATGATGTCAGGTAAACTGTGATATGTAGACCACAAAAACGAACTCATTGGCAGAGGCCCAGGAGTTTATGAGATTATTACTTAACTAATTACACACACATTTAAGTGGTTACTTATCTAATTCTTAATAAGATTCAATATCTCACGGTCTTTGAGAGGCTCATTCTCTCTATTTTTTTCATCATTATACTCACGCTCTTTGTTCTCTCTGTAAGTTAAAAGGGTCTAATTAGTTGTGAATTTGTCCACTATCAAGGTAAATTGAGATCCTTATTTGAGTTTAAATTTTCTCTTAAACAATGAATTCGTACTGATTATTTTATTTAATTATTGAGATATGTTTTCAACATTAAGAAGATTATAAAATGTTTACCTTCCAGCCCTTTGGAATGGTGAAGCCGTTGAAGATGAAGTCATTGATGGCTTCCCTGAAAGCACCTTGGAGTGGAGGGGCGAGCCTCATGACTTCACAGGCCACGTTCCATGAGTATTTCATCTTTTGAATGTCATCCCAATTCAATAATTTTCCTGCGCCTTTTGATTTTGCGATTTCCATTTGCTCTGCATTATTAACAAAACCACGCCAACAGGAAAACAGACAGAGATTAGGAAAAGCATTTTTTATTAACTAGTATTAATATATATATATATATATATTTTTTTCTTGCCCCTGACTATATTAAATTCCTGAAGATGACAAGACAACTAATAGCGGGATCGGATTATGAACCCACCGCTCAATAAATGAATAAATAAAGATGAAGGTTCAAGCCAAGGCAAGCCAAGTTGTCAAACACATGCATGAAGTTTAATAAATGTGTTAATAATTTGTATAAATCCACAAGAGTTTGACTTCCAAGATGTCGTGTGAGAATGAGAATGGACAAATGCTACGGCAAGCAGCCGGTCGTTGATATATCAGTTAAGTAAATTAATCTAAATGGTGGATGTGTCAAGTTTATAATCAAGGAGTGACCATTTGGAAAAGAATTACCTTGTGGTTGGGAGGAAATCACTTATTGAGTTGTAGGTAGGGTCAATTCCTTATTCCCCCCAAACAACCATGCAACAATTAATACATTTTATATAACACAATAATTGAGATTAAGATAGTAATCAAAGTTCGGAGATTTTGTATATACCTTCTACACTGACTTTATTTTGGCATCAACTTTTCTGAGACTTAAATCCTTTAAAATTGTTATTCATAAATTTCTGTGAATTTTTAAATATTTTTTCATTTTGTTATTTTTTTATAAAACAAAAAATTTTCAATCCCTTTAATTTATATCTCATAATTAACTTATAACAGATTGAATAGCAAAACTTCTCATCATCGACAAGAGAGACTCACCCTGGTAGACTTGGTCATAGATGTGGGGCAACTCAGCAAGAAACTTGACGATGAAAGTGCAGGCAGTACTAGCGGTGTCATGGCCTCCAATCAAGAGTCCAAGAATCTTATCAGCAATGTCCAACTCACTCATGAACTGTCCATTCTCATCACTGGTCGTCAACATGTGGGACAGTATATCTTGTGTTGCAGACACATTGCCTTCTGCTAAATCCACCTTTCGCTGCCTTATAATGGCCAAAAGCTCCTTCCTTATGAACTTTGAAGCTTTTATGGCCTTGTTGAATGGCGTTCCGGGCACGTCTATGGGCATTGATATGATTCCTGAAGCTAACAGATGGAACGGGTCGGCGAACCTCGCCACGTGGTTGGGATCTTCAATACTCAAGAATATACGACAAGCCAGCCAGAAAGTGTATCTGCTCGTCACTCGATCCCATGCACAAACAAAAATGGTTACAATATGTCTTAATGCACAGACGTAAAGCAAAATTAATGAGAGTAATTCATGAATCAATCACCTCTTGGCCAACGGGAAGACGATGACCTCTTTCTTGTTCTCCCATCCCGAGGCGAAGTGTCTCTGAGCGAGGCTGTCCATGATTCCGATATATCGCTGCAGAGCCTCCGGCTTCAGGAACTGGGGAAGCAGCTTCCTCATCTTCAACGCTTCTTCCTTGGAGTTCGTCTGAAGCGACGTCGGAAACACCTTGTTCACGGATTCCGGCCACCACGCAACCACGTGCTTGTTCTCGTTGGAGAACAAGAACTTGTTGCATGCCGGCCCACAGAACACCGCTGCCGGCTCGCCGAAAATGGAAGTCTTGAAGATATGGGACGAGAACTTGTGCATGCGGTCGATGATGAACTTCTCGGGGTGGCCTTTCCATCCGGTGGACAGAAACTCGAGGCTCTCTCCGATGACCGGATAACCAATCTTGCCCGGCGGAAGGTTGGGGCCGGAGAACATGGACCGGTGCTTGTAAAAGAGGAAGAAGAGAGAGAGTGTGATGAGAGAAACGAAGAGAAGAAGAAGGGTGAGATAGAAGTGCTCCATAATTGAAAATTTCTTCTTTGCGAAATCTGATTCGAAGGCAATGCGGTGAGGAGGTTTGGGAGCTTGTAATTTATAGCCCTAAATGTAAGGCGAATGAGTTACAAAGATGACAAGTTTCTTGACGAAAACCAGCAGAGTCAAACAAAGCTAGCTCGCCAGCGTGCTCATTTCTTTAATTTGTACCTAAATTATTTTATAACTCAAATGTTAACTATTTCCTGTTTGGCTGATGCGAATAAATATTTTGAAAGTGAACGTAATTTGCCATAAAGAAAAACTCGAGTGTAATAATATAGTTTTTAATCTCATAATATATTTAGGCCAAAAAAAAAAAAATCTTATAATGTATTGCATGCGAGTTCGGCATGCTTGCTGATGTTAATAAGATGTTCCATTTTTTTAGAATACAATGATCTAATATATAGCAATTTAGTTAAATTATTAAGTATGGTGTTAATAACGGCCAGCTGTCCTAATGAGAGCCTATCTCTATTTAATTTGGAAGAGGTCCAAATTTAGTATTAACATATTTGTGTACGTATATATATTTCCTAAATTATATATATATATATATATATATTAATTTAAATATGAGTAATTTTATTTATTGTTTATGAAGAAGAAATTTAGCTTAGCATATATATTTTTTCTGTTAATACAATGAAAATTATCTTAAATATATATGTTAAGCATTTTAATTGAATCGAAGTAACTAATTGTTTTCAAACTAATACTATCATTTTGTATTTATCCCTATTTAGTTGGATGTTTTACCTTAAAGTAAATTTGAAATGAAGTATTTATCATGGGTACTTTAAAAAAAACATAATGGTTATACTTTGAAATACTAAAAATATTTTACATTTTTAAACACTCAACCTCTCAAAAAATGCCTTATATTTTAAAGGGAGGGAATATTTTATTTTGGTTTTAAATACTCCCTCCATTCAAAAATGTAAAGCATTTTTTAGAGGTTAGATGTTTAAAAATATAAAGTATTTTTAGTCTTTCAAGATATAATCATTGCCTTTTTTTAAAAAATACCCCCTTGAATAAATCAGTTTATATTTATTATAAAGTAAAATACCCTATTAAATAGAAATAAATGTGAAAAGATATAGTTAGTTTAAAGAAAAATAATTACTTTATTAAAAGATGTGATTCAATTAAAAATACCTTATATTTTTTAAGAGAAAGAGTATAAGATCTCAGTCTCATTTTTCATTTTTGTTTTTTATTTGGCTTTGGATTCTATTTTGCTCTCTTTTGTTTCATGGTTTTTCCGCCTAGTTTGTTGTGATGCTTTTGGTGGGTCTTTTTCCTTTCTTTCTCTATATTTTTTGAGTCAGATAAGGTTTGTTGTTTTTGGAATTTTTTTTTCTTATTCTTTGATTTTTTGGATATGGCTATCAGACTGAGTCAAATTTAAATATTACTAAGCTTAACTAATGATTACTTTTCTAATTATATCTTTATATATATTTACACATACTCAAGCACCAAATCTTATATTTAAGAAGACATAATACCTTCTACTATGATAAACATTTATTGGGTTGTTATTTTCCTTTTCTTGTTAGTGTAGTTATATTTACTATTCTGAATAAAAAATCTCACTTGGCCTCGTATTTAGTGTTTTTAACTAAACTATCCTTATAGCTAAATTATTAATATGATGCATAACTATATTAATAATATTTCAATGCAAATAATTGAAAGGAGGAATATTTTAGACAAAATAGCATACTTTTTTAATAAATAATTAATTTACTTAATTTATATAACTTATTTAACTATTTCCAACATTTAGTGTCAATTGGAGTAAAATAATTATCTTATTTAAAATAAAGGTATCTTGAGTAGTGCTGACAAAACTAAAAAAAAAGGTCACTTGAGTAGTGAAGCTTTTGACAAAGTTGATATCCGGTAAACTCCAAGCATTACAAGGAGTATTAAAAGACTATAATTATATTCTTCATAATGCGTTAATCATACGATTAATTCATTATAAATTTCAAAATAAATACCACCCAAAAGAAACAGATAATGAATGGAGTTAAAATGGAGGCACATGGGGGGTGTGTGGGTACGAAGTGGTCACGAATCTATTTTAATGTCTTTTTATCAGTAAAAGTTCTAACTCTTCCCAAAAGATTCGTCCCTGCTAAGCGATCCGTGCGCATTTTTTTATAACAATATTTTTATTACGAAATAATATTTTAACTTGTTTCAGATTGTTTTGGTGGTTTGTAACGTATATAAAAACTAAACAAACACTGGCTATAATATTGGTGATTATTCATTATATATTTTGTAAACTGCTCACGAATTCTATTCAAACTAGTTTTCTTTCATATATTATATAAAATTTGAAAAAAAACATAAATAAACCACGCTATATTATTTTAACATAACAATAACATGAGTTTCAATAAATTAAATTTTATACGATATATTCATAATATAAAACTTTTCTTCAAACTGAAGGATAGTTTTGGCCAGGGAAAAAAAAAAAAAACCCCTCAGGGATAGTGAAGAAAAGGCGCTATAATAGGAGTCTCGATACTTAATAATTAAGTGTTGAAAAATTCTAAAACTTTCGTGTGTACTAAGTTGATAATTTTGAATATTAGGTTTGAAAAAAAAAAAAAACACTTTCACCTCATAGCAACATGGTCGTATGCAGCTCATATGATGAGAGATTGAGTCATTTAGATTTTAGAGGACAGGCAAGGACAAACGCAGCCATGCATGTTGGTGACTCAAGATTTGCATGTACGTATCAATTGAGATTTTTTTTTTGTTATTTAATTAGCATATGGTATTGATTAAAATATATAATTTTGAATTTACCATCACTTGTATTTTTTTTAAAGATATCATTTGTAACCATATCATGTAACGTAATGATATTTTCCTAAATTGTAAAATAATTTTTAAATTAAAGTATTTGTTATACTGAGTTTTAAAAAAACTTAAGTTAACAATATATATGACAATAAATATAACATTGCTAAGTCCTTGCAAGACACTGTCATGGAATTCGCAAGACAATATTTGGAATAAGCTATAGGCATAAAATATTGATTTTATGATGATAAATTATACCCCTAAATTTGTAAGAAAATAAGTCTGATCAATTTGGAAGTTTAACTTCATTTCCAGATCGAAGAAATTAGAAAGCCAGATGTTGACATTACATTTGATAAGTGGAAGAAAACCACTCGAGTATCCTAAAGGCCTACAGGAAAACATGCCGTTGTGATTCTTTACATATTAAAATTATTTTTTAAAATTAAAGAACTGATCATTGAACTGATTAACATATTAATTTAAAAATTAATGGTCAAAAATTATATTTAATCGAATCTCGATCATACCAGTCATAACAAAACATTTCCTTCAATCATAAGTTCATATACACTGTCAGTGCAATATCTTCAATTATCTCTGCTGCCCTTTTCGGCTCTATTATTGTGGAGCGAGTTGCTGCTGACGAGGATGCATGAGCGAGGTCTTACTTTTTCTACGCGTGCTCTTCTCTTCAATTTCTTTTGGTTTCGGTGTTTTCCCTCCATTCTTCACGTGTGAAATATATTTATGGGGTTTTCTTTTCAGCCAGAAGATATTTATGTTATGTAGTAACGGACTCAAAAAAAAAAAAAATCAGTAGAGACATAATTTATACTTAAAATAAACGTTTATATTTTTTAAAAAATAATTTTAAATATATATAATTATATTTTTTATATTTCATCCATTAAAAAATGTAAAGTATTTTTTTGAGAGTTGGATATTAAAAAATGTAAGGTATTTTTAGTCTTTTGATATATAATCATGCTTTTTTAAAAAAAGCATCTCTATTGATAAATGACTTTATATTTATTGAAGAATATTTAATGGGGGTAAATATGACAAGATAGGGTTAGTTTGAAAGTCAGTAACTAATTTATTGGGGGTGAAATTCTATTAAAAATATCTTATATTTTTAAATGGAGGGAGTATAAGTTAGTAAAATTAAATAATAAAAAAACACATAAACATAGCATTATAATAACATAAAAGTCTTTATATAAGTGATTTATATATATCTACATATATATTAGAATCATGTGTTTCTAATTTTCATTAAACAAAATATATACTCACTCATTTAAAAAATATAAGACATTTTTAACTGAATCTTACCTCAATAAAATAGTTAATCTTTAAAATAATATCATTTTTATATTTACCCCTATTTAATTGATATTTTACTTTAAAATAAATACAAAATGATCTATTTATTAAGAGCACTTTTGAAAAAAAAATATTAATTATACCTTAAAATAGTAAAAATACTTTATATTTTTAATATTTAATTTCTCAAAAAATACTTTACATTTTTTTAATGGAGGAAGTATGCATTTTTTGTATGATAGAGAATTTCACAGACAAAAATTTCTCCATTTTCTTATCATCATTTTGCCTCTAAAGAGATTGTATATCTGAGAATTTCTTTAACAAAAATTTTCAAAAACAATTTTTTTTCAAAACCATTTGTTTTCCATGTTAAAATTATTGCTATTTAAGGTTAAAATATATATATATATATATATTAAATATATATATATATATTATATATATATATATATATTATAGTTTTAGATGATAAATTCTAATGGGATAAGTAAAATTTTATAAGGGAAATAAGTGAATTTTTTTTGAAGTGAGGGGACAATTGAAATTTTTTTGAGAGGGCAATAAAAATATTATTTAAGATCATTTTTATATATGTAAGTCACATTCTAAAAATTTGTGAGTATTTGAAATAAATATTGCTTATAAAATATGAAATATGAAATACAAAATACAGAGACTATTACGTTTTTTTTTTTCAATTTGGTTTTTTTAATGGTAATTGGTTCAGGAGAGAAAGAAAACTTGCATGCACACATTGTACTGGGCGGTAAAGTGCCGAAATATGGAATTAACAATAACTAAAACCCCAAAAAAAATTAAAAAAATAATTATATTTATCAATTTAGATAATAACATATTCAACTAAGACATT